TTAATTAAGAAATTCAAAATACTAGATAATGGATTCAATCAGATTTAAAACCAGTCTAGCAATAAATTTTCATGGACAACAAAATGGCGGAGAGCTTATTATGTAGCGAAGTAGTATAAATCAATGAAATCTCAATTCCGCATATCTTTATAAATACTGAATGGAATTGAACCATTTTTGGACTGATATTGAAGTTCGCAAGTGATTCCTATAGTTCTAAAATGGCACATTCGACTCTAATACCCTGCCTTGATCAGTTGAAATTAATTCATTTATGACATTGGAACAGATTGCAATTGGGACCCTAGACTATATAGTATTCCAACTTCATTTTCCCTTGATAATAAAATCAGGACTTAATGATACAGTAATCACAACATGACAACCAATTTCTACTTTCCCACCCATAAAATATGTCTTTTAATGATGTGGAGGTCATCTGAATGACCTTTGACATTGTAAGGTTAATCACTGATCACTTGTGAAGAGCCTACACCACAGATTGTTATCTGGTTTCTGACTGGATTCACTTCATTTCATTTGGGAAATGAAATTTTGAATTGTACTTTTTGATGATCATGATTTTTATCAATTTTATTTTCTTGTGAATCTGTGTAGAAAAATTAGAAAATTTTGGGAAATATGTGGTGCGTCTAGAACAAGAATAAAAGTGGACATGAAGCATGATAAACCAACAGAAAAATGAATGATAATGATTATGGACTATTAAAATATTTAATTTGGATGACGAAAAGAAAATGTGGGTTTAATTGTATTTTTGAGTGAATAAAACAGATAAATTCACGATGAAAGCCTCTTGTGCAACTATATGAAGGTAGAAGGTCTGTGATACTTTTAACGAAGAAATACAAACTTTCAATCTCCTTGCAGAGTTTGCCATTTAGCCTCCAATTTCCACCATATCTATGTTTCCTGAAGTTATCGTGACCATAAATGAATAGAATTAATCAGTTTGAAGTATTTTTGGACCAAGGTGCTTTTTTAAATAAATAAAAGTACCTTTTAAAAAGTAAAGGTATGTAAATTACTCGTACCTGTTGCCTCTCTAGATTATAGGAAATCTTATTATGAACCACGAGTGTGTCAAACTTACAAAAGTCAATCTGACATTTTTGAATTAAAAAAAACAGCCATCTTGTTTTATGACTCAATGACAGAAAGATGGTTTATTTACCTTGAGACAACAGATTTAACAATTATCTCAATTTTCAAAATCCTTATCACGTTTGACACCTAAACTTTTTTCTTGTAAAATTTTACTCCAATGTGTGTCTTAGCAGATAAAGAATTTCTCACTGGGTTGGCCTTGCAGATGTGGTTTAATGAGAGAGAGAGAGAGCCTAGAGCTGTCTGAGCTATAAAAACTTGTTCATGAAGACATTCAATTGATTATTTTTGTATGTCATCCCTATATTTACCTCTTCAAGTGTCGTTTTGAGTAAATAGGAAAGTATACAACATTAATGTAAGACGTTTTGGCTCCAGAGGTTTTTTTAACCCTAACCCAACCTGCATTGGTAGAACCTATTAACCTCTATGGCCGAATGGAAAGGTTGGTCTACCTCGATCTAACCAATAGTACCAGCACTTTGAAAGTTTTGTCAAGTCAGCAATTCTGTTGAATCTGTCAATTTGGAGAGCAGAAGGAAAGAAAGACATTAAGTATATATTCTGTTATTTTCTATATTTGTGTTGGATTGTGGAATTTTCAAATCTGGGGCTCTTGTGAATTATTATACAATATGTTAGTTCTGGAATAAACAACATAGTGTTGAGTGGATGTTCAACCCATTTCTCTTTTGTGTTTCTAACCTTAGTTTTAAAGCTACGTTTCCAGAAAAGTATTTATCGGGTGGTTATTTCCAATAAAAGTATGACAATTTTGGTATATATGGAAAGTAGAACCATCCAATCCTACTAGAAAAATACTGGATTCCCAGAAAAACACCCATGGTGCGCATACAGGACAAAAATGTAAGGGTTTTCCTAATCGTCTTGTATATGCAATGAATTCTTCTCCGGCTTCACACCTGTTGCCAGGTACCAAGTCACATGACACAAACATGACCTCTTTTAATAGATTATTTATAGAAGGGTTATTCCCTCACAAATACAATGTTCTGAGAAGGTTTTGAAGCAAAATTTTGATAGATTAATTAATTTAAATATGTTTTTAGTCCAAATATGTCATCAAATCACTCAGTTTGTACACTCACATCTTTTGTGAATTTTATTGAATGTAACAAGGACTGAGAAGAACCTTTGGATCTTTTAAGTCCAGATATCAGGGGTGGGGGACTGCAGAACTTACAAGGAAGGTGGACCTAGTTCTTCAGATGAGGCAAAAAACAAGGTTCACTTTTGTATACATTAACATGCAAGTAAAAGAACTGTTGAAAGATGGAATTTAAAGAGTGTACTGGAAATAACAGAATTATTTTATTGACAGGAATTTATAGCTCTGCTCCTGATCATGTTTAAATTCCCAATCAGTGACCTCAGATGAAGATATGACCTTACATTCTGTGTGACCTGTGTTTGTATTAAAATTTATATTTTACGACTAGAGAGAATAATAGAACAAATTGAGTAGCTGACAGTTACACGATTTAAACTATAGAATCAATAATTATATATAAACTTTTATTGTTATTTTACCAAGGGTGGTCTATTGCTGCTTAGTTGACCTTATACCATGACCTTTCACCTTTCTAAGGTCCCCATTGGCTACATGAAAGTTTGGTCAGCCCTTCTTTCCATCCAACAGCTGGATAAGCTGACATGCACCCTTCAACATCCTTAGTGTTTTCTCTCTATTGTTCTTATCTCCCAAAAGAATTTCTTCTGTGAGATTATTGTTGACATTGATTTTGAAGAAGAATTCCAATTTGTGTAAGTTTGGGTTTTTTTATTGTTTTTTTTATTTATTTTTTTTTTTACAATATTTGATAAATATTTAACATTAACTATATATTTAGTACAAATGTTTGACCTGTTGGTTTTTGTTTCTTATATTTTGTGTATCAAGTTTTTTTTATTTTTATTCCTAACGATATATTTTGGTTGTATAAGCTTATCAGAAAGTTATATTTCAGCTTAAAACTAGTTGAAAACGATAAGAGAATACTTGTCGAAACTTTGTGCTATATGTGTATAAACCAGTGATTGTTTTCCATATAAATTGTGTTGTGTTTTATAATTTTATTATTCTCTGTTTAGAGTAAGATAAACTGAGTCCAAAGCTTATTTGTCATTTTAAGTAGGTCATTTTACGACCAATATGTATGGAAATTTTTAAAAGACATTAAACATCAAATATCTGGATATCGTTTATGGGTTCTGTCAATGGTTAACATTTGGGCGAATTTTTTCGTTATAAGCTATCTGGATCAGATGGACATGAAAACATCTTGGTCTGGCAAAGTGTGTAGTTGATTGGAAGAGAAACATTTATTAATGAGTTTTAAAACAGGTCAACACACCTTAGTATACAGGTATAGGCATGTCGAATGGCACTGCCGAGGATAAATTAACAAAAAAAATTATTTTTGTTGATGTCCTTTTCAGAAGTTGACCCTAAGGTCACACCCAATTTGAATTATTTTTGGTCTTTAGGAACATGTGTTAAAATTTTGCTTAGTTTTTCAGGAAAATGAATAATTTAAAACAAGTACTTGGCTGCTCTTCTCCAATGCTTTTAGTTAAAAAAAAATTAATTTTGGAAATTTTAAACAAAACATCGTTAAGGAGCCTCTAGTGGTTATTAATATATCAGGACCCTGAGGACCCTGAAGAATTAAAAATTAAATTTGTTTTTCCCAACCCATTTCCTTTAATCTGATGCGTCGCCTTGATTAGGATTTTGTTTTAAGATTAGAATCTTAATCTGAATATCATTCATCTAAAGAACACAAATATTAAAGTAATAAGAAAAACAAAAGTAGTGATTCTGAAGATCGTCAGTAAAAGAATAGAAAAGGTTTATAGATTTCTTGTAATAATATTAATCAGTGTTCCTAGTGACAGGAACATGCAGGATGACCTTAAGGGTCACAGGTCAACAGGATGACCTAGGTTGAAGGTTCAGGTGTTGTTTTTAGAGGGGATGTATTATGGTGTTTGTTTATTTTTCATCATGTTTGTTGATAATCTGGATTATGGAGGCAAAAAGATAAGATATAAGTATAAATATAAATTTAGAGAAATAATGGAGTTTTGCCCTTTAAATCAAATCTTATGATTGCGTTTGACTGTTGGATATTCATGGATATAAACTTACAATTGACATCTATAAAAGGAAATCTGATTTACAAACAATTTTCACCTTTTCCTTAACCAAAAGGCTCAAAGAGAGATGGGTATTAGGAAAAATATAAGATGCATACACAGATGGTTTACAGTGTTTGCAGTATTCAGTTGTATTCAATACTTTCTCACACAATATATAGAAAAGTTAAGAAAGCTCAAATATTTACATCATTTCAAAAACATCTTAAAAGTTTTCAAGTTGAAAATGTATCAGATGATGGTTCTATATAAGGAAGTCAAAAGTTTACCCAAACCTGTTTAAACATTTAAAAACCAGTAACAATATAGAAGTAGCCTAGCTACTATAGAAATAGAAATTGTTAGCTGTATGAACTTCCAAAATAAATGAGAAATTGTCTCTGGTGCATGCACTACCTGCCTCATACACAACTGTCCAAAATATTAAGAACCACAATGTAAGGAATCCATAATATAAAAGTAGCCTACTCTGGAAAGTTTTATTTATCTAAACTTCCAAAATAAATGAAAAATGGTAACCTGTTCCGACTTAAAGGTTATTGGAGTGAGTGATTGTACTTGAATTTATGAAGCCAAAGCTATTTGGTAGATAACAATCATTGGGCAATTAGGCCACCAATTGAGGTATAATAAGTTGAATATGTATTGTGAGTTAATAAAATTGTACTCAAAAACATTTGAATGTTTTTCAGGAGCAGTAATACTCCAGATCGGATTTCCTCCAGAACTACATCATATCGTCAACGTGTTGAAGATGCCCGAAGCCGTGATATAAAGGAGCGTTCGGACGTACAGGATGATAGCGTTGTCTACAACCAATCAAAAAGCAGTCAAGCTCAAGGAATCAGAATGAGACCAAGAACAAGACGTGGTGAAAGTTTTAAGTGAGTTATTGTTTTTTTATTTTATTCATTTCCAAAACCTGGAGCAAAATTTTGCAAAGATGGGGTCTGTATTTCATTTTGTGCATTTTTATTTTTGACTACTGGTCCAGTTGTTTTATTTGATACCTACTCTGTTGTCGTGACAATGTGTGCTCGAGAAAGAAGTTTACTCCAGTGAGAGTAGTTTTGCTAATTGTGAGTTTGTTTACAACATGTATCACTACAGAAATGGAATTTACAGCTGACCCACCGGATGATTTGATGTATTTGTTGTTTATTGCTTGCAATGTCTGCAGTGTAGTCTTGTCCATAGGTTTGTCTCACGGATTTTGTTTGTGTGTGGTGTGGTCCTTATGTACTTACTGTTAGCCCAGTTAGTAGAATTTTTTGTCCAGGTAATCAATCATTTCCAAGCGGTCACTAGCCTTTAATCCACATTCTTTTCGTTGTTTGATGGTTGAAAGACTTGACGCAAAGAATCAGGCTGTAGTGACCTAGATATCATTCTAAACGAAAGTCCTGTTTTAATCTGATTAGCATACCAGTATGGAAGATGATGGACTGATTTGACCGACTCACTGACCATCCATTCAAATGAGATTATTAAAAATCAATATGCTTTGTTATTGTGTATTTATATCAGAATTAATTATATGGGGAAAAAAGAAAGCATGTCAAGTAGTAGTAAATATGGGTCAAGATTATGATAAATCATGGATTAATTACTGGTTAATACATAGAAATGGCTTCGGACAGTTTCTTTATAAGAAATAAGCTTTATTCAAACAGAGTATTATACATTTTGACATGATTTCTAATTAGACCAAAATAACTAGCTGATAGACAGGTATGTTCCCCAGTGGTCAGTTTATTTGTCAACATACAAAGGATAAATATTGCATTATGAAGTTATAAATATCGGTCATTGTATATTATTAAGATATTTTATTTGCTGTGTACATTCTATGGCTATACTATCTGAGAAAATTCTCTTTCATTTCGAGCTCTCAACATCAGTCGAAGGGTGCTTCAGGATAAGGCGAGTTCGTCGGTTAAAAATTTTATGGAGATGGCCAGAGAGTAAGTAGTGAAGGTCAGATTTTCAAATTTTTATATCAGCATTCAAAAATCATGTGGTTTGTGAGAACCAATTAGACGGCATTCTGAATTCTGTTTAATATGCTGGGTTTGTGGTTTGCTTGGATGATTTTAAGAGAGATTTATAGATCAATTATTAGGATGTGGACTATAATTTTGTATTTATGTGGTCGTTCATCAACAATATATTATTTATTTAATAACTCTTAATAGCCAGCTGATGAATGTCAATAGAAAAACAAAATATATGGGACTAGCTTTAGTAAATTGTTGAGATATTTTCATCACTCGTTTAAAAAGGAAATTCTGAATAATATTTGTTTGTAATGCTCTAGGTTAATCTTACACTCGATTTGATCATGCTTCGTTGACATATTGGTCCATAATACCATACTAAGTTTTCAATCCAAAATAATTAGGTATGGTAAGTGGGTTGTTATAAATGGGGGTATTTGACGTCCACTTCCACCTTGGTGATATTGTAGACAGATGATATTGGATATATTTTGATGAACCTCATAAAAAATGAGGGCTGACAAGTGTACCTGGTTGTTCAGATTGTCTGGAAAAACAAAAGTCTACCATGTACATATTGGATTACATGTATAATAGTAAGTGCAGGGGCACTCCACCACACAGCAAACAAATAAACAAGACAAATCTACCAACAAGATACAATATACAGACATCACAAAAAACAAAGGTACAACCATGACAGTTGGAATTTGAAGTAGACATAAATGCTAGTCTCATAATGTCTAATTCCATTTCATTCCAAATATATCGTCAATCAATGTATTCTGTTTGATTTATGTTTTGTTGAACTAGTAAACCAAAAGGGATGCACATGGAATCATTATGACTTTTACCCCAAAAGGAATTAACATAAATATTTAGGTTTGTACTAACAATTTCACGTTTTTGATCAATTTATATTTTGATGCAGACATTTTAACCCAAATGTGTATTACCTAAAATATTTAGGTTTGTGTTTCATCTATCAAATAAGTGCATGTTGTTTGATTTATGTATAGATGAACTTATTAAGCGAAAAGGATACAGTTATTATCTTTGTTCCCCATAATGTTTTAACCCTAATTACTTAATCTTATACTAACAATTTCATGTATTTGTTTCATGTATTGAAATGAAATGTAGACTAGATGACTATCAAGTACATGTAAAGTACTCAATTACATACAATGATAGATAAGTTACATACAGTTATGTAGTAAGTATATCTACTACATCAATGAGAAATTTGGTTAACGGACAAAATCTGTGGTTAATATTTGACCGAGATAAGGTGTGCTATATACAAGGGACTCTTACCTTGTCTCATCTAGACTATGCTAATCATTTATCAGTGGACATTTCTGACCACTAAGACCTTATCATCTCTTTAGTAGGTTAATTAATCTTGACACGCCAAAAAGTGCCTCCCTTAGAGAATTTGTATCCAAGCCACAATATAGGACAAAGATGTATGTCATAGACCCCAATTATATTTCAGCCCTTTTCAATTGTGTGAGCCCTTGTCAATGTCATTTTTGTGCAATTTCTGGTATCTATATGTTTCATTGCCTGGCAACCTACCTTTATCAAAAGTATTTATTGCTGGAGTTAATGGATTCCCACAGGAAATTTAGTTTAAGATTAGAATCTAAAGATGAGAAACTGTATGACTGACTGATATAGCATCTTAATGGACTGATAACATCATATTTACCAGTTAAATTTTGTTACTTGTATAAGCCTTTATATAAAATGAAAAGTCGAACAATTTATATTGATTATATCAAGAAATCCAAGATGGGGTAAACTGTATATAATTCAATCTGATTAAAATACAGATCTATACTTCGTTTTTTTTTTTACATGAAGATCTGACAAGTTGTACTTGAAGGTCGTGTCAGGGGTCGTACGAGCGGCTTTTGATCCTATGATGTCAGACATTGATTAATCAATCAACGTTGGCGTTTCAATGGTTTACCCGCAGTTCCATGCATGGCATGCCAAGAAGTCGCCGTAACAGACTGTTTTATTGGCTTATCCCTCACTATCAAAAACGAAACGAAATAGGATCTGTGTTTTAATCAGATTGTATATAGGCCTAATTGTTTAGAACATGAACATCTTAGCTTGTTTTTAAAACCGGGCTCTATAATTTCTAGTTGGTATAGAACATAGGGCCTTCACAGAAAATTCCAGTAATCCTTTATAAGCTATGCCATTCACAGTAATTTCTTTTGTCCTTTCATTTGAACACAGGGCCTTGAGACACTATTGAGAGGCCTTCATTATGCTAGATCATTCACAGTAAATTTCACAGTAAATTTCAATGTATCGCATTTCCTCATGAGATACATGCATGCACTCATACTTTTATGACCGATGATCATATCTATATCTGCTCCTGTTGAGATACATGCGTGTACACATAATCGTGTGATCATATCTATACATCCATGCACACATAATGATCCTTTGACCTATATGTATAGCCATAATTTTATATCTTCCTCTTATGAGATACATGCATGCATAATCATGTTTCTTTCATGTATGAATATATCTGTAAATAGCGGCAGGAAAATGTTTTTGATTTGGTACAAAAGTATAAGTGGTATTAGGTATGTATTGTATAACCTGCCATATGCACAACACCTATCACTATCTGTAATTAAATGGATAGATCCCTTTCATGTTTTAAAAAGAAATTGGCACACAATGTCAGATTGGTACATACATTGTGAATAGTTGCCCCCACCTCTGCATATGGAAAGATACTGATGAGATTATTCAGACCATATGATTTGTAATAAATTATCTTTTGATTGATTTTAATTTGTAATCAATTTATCTACCTAATGACAAGCTGATGACAACTTCTTGATAGGTTTTACACTACTCTGTACCAGCACTGCGGTGTGAATTGTGATGGCTAATGATCTGTTTAATCTAGATGACAATAGTTGCACAATGACAGCAGCTTGAAGTGATTCCAGATTGAAATCTGCCACCAAAACATTTGACACCAGACAAAACATGTATAATAAAGGGGTTGTCAGATTGTTGTAACAATCTTCAATCTGTCAGTCATCAATACAACAACATACCAAGTCCATCTGTCATTTAAAAAAACATTATTCTGATGCAAATTTTATTCAATGTTTAAAGATATTTACATTTAGATATGGTAATTGATAGTTAAATATTCAATCTTAACACGTTCAATTTTTTCATTGTAAGACAAACTTAGGAATGTTTTCTGCATATGTCAACAGATTTTAAGGCTGTCCGCAAATTGAAAAAAATAAAGAATTTTTATTTTGATGCAGATTTTATGCAAAGTTTTAAAATATTTACAGAAAGATAAGATAAAGTGAGTAGCAGTTCAACATTTTATTTAATGATGTCTTAAGACATTCAGGTGTTTCTTTGTTTGAAAAACTTGAAAATATTTTATGTATATCACAAACAGATTGTAAGTCTGTCTGCCAATACAAAATAAATCCAGTTCTTTTATTCAAAGATAAAAGGGTCTGATCTTTTATTCAAATAAAAATTTATTGTCGAAGTTTGAACAATTTTTACATAAAGATAAGATATAGTTTGAACATTTTGGCAATTTGATTTAATCTTCAACATAGACACAGAAATATGCGAAGACAGGGGTCACTTGCATATTCTGGAGGAATGAACCATTCTTCCTGAATTCTCATCCATTTTAATCGTTAGTGGAATGATTTCTTAATTAGATTTATTTTTTTGTAGCCATTTCTCACTAAATATTGGAATGTTTAAGACAGAATTCTGAAAAGGACATGCACCAGACCCTCACTCCCTTACATCTTTACTTGTGTAAAAACCTACTGATCCAGTCAATCAGAAAATTTAAT